GTATGAAGCTAGCGTGCTGGTCGCGCGGCAGAACAATGTCCAGACAAAGTCGACAGGAGAAGAAAGGAAGTGACAGGTCTGTTGATGTATAGAGAGGCAAAGACACTAACCAACTGAATCTACAGGGTACCAAAAACATACGCCCGGAACAATGTGGTTCTCCCAGGAAAGACAGAGTAGTTTCACCTGAGAAAAATCTTTGACAGAAGCGTGTAGTATGAGCAAGACCCAGGCTTCAATCCCCAGTACAACATCAACAAAAAATTAATCGTCACTAACAATGGTAATAGATTTAGGAGGGCAAAAATCCTATCAGTTGGATTTTATTTGAAATGTTCAATAAAATTTATAATAAAAAATGTATAGTGATTTAGTGATAGAAAGAAATTTCCTTCACCTGAATAAGGTTGACAGAAACCAACCTGAATGGCAGGATAGTGAGTTAGAGAGTTCATTTCCCTCAAAGTCAGGAGTAACAAAAGATGCCCAAGGTCACACACTTCTCCTTGAGTTTGACCGGAGTCTCAGCCAGTGCATTAGAATAAGCAAAAGGAACAAAGGATATAAAGAGAAGAAATAAGCAGTCTGATCTTGTAGCTGACCAAAATCATCTAATTCGAAATCCCAAAGGATTCGAAGTAATACCCCACACCAACAAATATATGATGTTTTTAAATTTTAAAATTATTCAAAATAATTCAATTTATATATACAGATTATTTCAATTAATAGGCTAGCTTACCAAATCAAAAGGATACAAGAGGGGCTGGGGATGTGGCTCAAGCAGTAGCACGCTCGTCTGGCATGCGTGTGGCCTGGGTTCGATCCTCAGCACCACATACCAACAAAGATGTTGTGTCTGCCAATAACTAACTAAATAAATAAATATGTTTAAAAAAAAAAAAAAAAAAAAAAAAAAAAGGATACAAGATAAATTAAAAATGTAATTTGAGCTGGGGATGTGGCTTACTTGTACAGCACTTGCCTAGCATCTGCAAGGCCTCAGGTTCAATCCTTGGCACCAAAACAACAATAAAAAATTAGTAATTTGAGTTTCACTCGATGAAGCTACTTAGACAATGGAGCTGGTTCTCGGCACCCAGACATCTGTGGAGGTGCTGTGTCACCTGTGGAGGTGGGTGTCACCATAAAGTGATGCAGTCACAGAGAAGCCCTGGGGAGCCCACCAGAGGAGTTCAGCTCCATCTGTGTTGGAAAGAAAAAGCAGAAGCTCTGTGCTGACGGACAGTGAGGAAGTGAAAAGCATTTGTCTGCAGTTCAGTGGATCTCACCCTGTGGTCTGAGAGGTGGTGCAGCTTCTGTGGCTGCAGGCAGCCAGGTCTGTGTGCTTTCACTTCCCCTCAAAGTGAGTATTCAGGAAAGTGGGTAAATTGTTGAAATCTCATAGAAGAAAATACACCTACAGGGCACATGAGAGGAAGTCCAAAAGGATGAGCTGATTGTTGAAGAAAATAGAATCACACCTGCATCAAATTCAGCTGCTCTGACTCAGCAAATCATGACAGTCAAGGATAACATCTCTGAGATGTCATCTCTCTCTGAGAAAAGAACAGGTCAGCTGGTGCAGTGGTGCACGCCTGTAATCCCAGTGACCTGGGAGGCTGAGTGTTATGGTTTAGATATAAGGTGTCCTCCAAAAGCTCATGAGTGAGACAATGCAAGAAGCTCAGAGGAGAAATGATTGGGTTATGAGGAGCTACACCCAATCAGTGCACTAATCCCCTGATGGGGAAACCAGTGACAACTGGATAGGGTGTGGCTGCAGGAGGTGGGGTGACCGGAGCCTGCCCTTCGGGTTTATATTTTGTCCATGAAGGGATCTCCCCCTCTGTCTCTGTCTGTTTCTCTCTGCGTCCTGGTGTGATGTCTCCAGTGGCTTCTCTCCGCCACACTCTTCTGCCATGAGGTTCTGCCTCACTTTGAGCTCCCAGGAATGAATGGAGCTGGCTCTCTATGGATTGAGACCTCTGAAGCTATGAGCCCCAGATAACCTTTTCCTCCTAAAATTGTTCTTGTCAGGTCTTTCGGTCACAGCAGCCAAATCGCTGACTGAGACACCGAGGTGGGAGGACGGCAAGTTCAAAGCCAGGCTCAGCAACTTAACGAGACTATGTCTCAAAATAAAAAATAAAAAGGGCTGGCGGTGTAGTTCAGGGGCAGAGCGTTAGTGAAGCACGAGCGAGGTCCTGGGTTCAATCCCCAGCACTGCAACCAGTCAATCAATCAATCATTAACAGATCAGCAGGCTCATGAAAAAGACCTAAGCATTCTTCAGCTACCAAAGTAATGAGACCCTAAATGACACCAAAGTCCTGCCTGTGATATTTTAAAAACCTCACATTTAAAAAAAGGCTCTCACTCATCATTTAGGCAATATGAAATTTTTAAAAATACACTTTTTAAAAGATAGATATTATAATAGCAACCCTAACCATATTTAGGAAGAAACATCAAAAGAGGAACAAGCCCTGTGTGGAGAAATCCTACATCTTCCTTGAAAACACTAAAAGAGATTTAAGATGAATATACTTGTGTCGATAAGAAGGATTCATAAATAAGCAAATTCTTCCCAAACTGACAAACAGGCTCAATGTAACTCCAATTAAAACACCAACAGAGGGGCTGGGATGTGGCTCAAGCGGTAGCGCGCTCGCCTGGCATGCGTGCGGCCCGGGTTCGATCCTCAGCACCACATACAAACAAAGATGTTGTGTCCGCCAAATACTAAAAAATAAATATTAAAAAATTCTCTCTCTCTCTACCTCTATCTCTCTCACTCTCTCTTTAAAAAAAAAAAAAAAAAAAAAAAAACCAACAGAAGTCTGTTTTAGAACTTGACAAACTGATTCTACAGTCACATGAAAAACAAAGGGTCAAGAATAGCCAAGACTATTTGTGGAAGGAGACGGAGGAGGGTTCTTGCCCCACTAGACATGGGGGCCTTTCTGTTTACTCCTAGACCGTTCTGGCTCGGAGACAATAAACATGGTCATTGCATCATAGCAGAGGCCACAGAAGGGGCCTGCTCCCACATGGTATGAGGATACATGACAGAGTGGCATGTGTGTCAACACAGGAAGTACCTGTGGGTACACACTGCACACCACACACAGACACCAACCCCAGGTAGGTTCAGTACTTTAATGTGAAAAGCAAAATATGAAAATTTTAGTAGAAACTTTACCCAAATATCCCAATCTTAGGATGGGAAAGATTTTCTTAAAAGACACTCAGTAGAATAAAGATGATCATGAATATGATCACATTACAATTAAGAACTTACGTTCATCCAAGGTCACCTTGGGAAAAGTGAAGGCCAACTACTCACTGGGAGGTACATATTTCCAGAAAAAAAAAAATTAGTGTATCAATACATAAAGCCCCCCAACAAATTCAAGTTTAATCTGACAAGATTGAACACTCAGTAGAGGAACGGGCTCCGGATGTGGCAGGCATTGCATAGAGAAGTGTTGACATGCCAGAGAAAATGTAAAGATTTTCATCTTCCTGGACACCAAGGAAATGCAAATCGACACCATAGTGAGAGAGTGAGACGAGAACACATTGAGACAAGCGGTAAAACCAACTACGAAGACTGAGGGCGTACCTCCTGGGTCTCACAGGCACAGGTGGGAGTGTATGTGGATACCAGGGCTTTGGGAAAGTGCGTGTCCTTCACATACCCGTGAGCCAGCCATTCAATTCCCACATGATGCTAAAGAAAAACTCCCTGAATCTGGAAACAACTCAACTGTCCATCTGTCTGAGCCTAGATAATCGACATGATCACAAGATAAACTATGGTACATGAGGGGAAATAAGCTGCAGTTCTGCACAATAATGTGTCTGAATCATCAGTGTGATCCAGAGTCCACAAAGCAAGTCCAAGAAGAGTGAGCAGAACATGGCGCCCTTTGTGGGTTGGGAAAAACTAAGTGGAGTGTGCTTCTTATATGTACCTGTCAGCACTAGGAGGAGGAGACCCAGAACAGCAGCCCTGGGCGGGGACCAAGCAGCCACACAGGCAGGGTGAGGTGTCAGCCATCGCCCACGCCTTCGGCCTCGGGCTGGAAGGAAGGCTCACGGTGTTTCACATATTATGAATAAAAATGAGGGAGTAAGAGTGAACAATGCTTGTTCCTGGGCTAAGTGCTTATCAGGAACCAAGCACCCTGGGTAATTCCGTCAGGGGTAACGTGGACCTGGTTCTATGAAGGGGAACATGCTAGACAGGGGCAGGCTGAGGGAGAGCCAGCCCTGGTCCTGAAGAATGTCACCAATACAGTGAGAGGGTGGAGACAGGTGAAGAGGGCATCATGAGCCCCTCAGCACAGGGAGGCCTGCAGGACCCTGGGGACATGGGGGGGGTGCCCGCAGGGAGGGAGACGTGGTTTTCCTGGAGTGGGAGGTTAGAGCTGAGGGTTAGACCAGGGGGCCTGGTAGAAAGGGGGAGGAAAGGGTGTTCCAGGCAGGAGGAGCTGTGCATGCTGAGGCCAGAGCTGGAAGTGTGTGTCTCTGTGTGTGGACGGTGAGAAGGCCACTGTGGCTGGACCAGGGGACAGGACATAGTGGGGGCTGGCCATCAGATGGTGGGCCCGGGAGTGCAGACCTGATTCTCCCAGCAATGGGGCAACAACTCGGGGCTCTGGGTAGGCTGGAAGGTAAGAGCTTTGGGGAGAAGGTTCTGGCAGCCTGTGTCCAGGGTGAAAGGCGGAGGCAAGGAGGGAGGTAGACTGAGTGTCCAGCAGAGTTCGAGCAGGAGGATGAGTAGAGGGCCAGTTAGCTTTCCTAGAAGGAAGGCTGGGCAGACGTAGCCGTTACTGGCTCCAGGAGATGAAGGCCGAGAACAGGAGAGAGGAAACCTCCTGGGTCTCTGCCAGGTGACCAGGGAGGAGCAGGTGTGGGAAATGCTGAAGGCCTCAGTGTGGACGTGCACAGACCTCCCCGCCCCCCCACATGACCCAACACACATCACTCACCCAGGGGACGGTGTCCATGACAGGGTCCCTGTCATCCATGACCTCTGGTTTCCCAGGCCTGTGCTTTCTGCAGGACTTCACTCTGAGGGAAGGAACATACGGGCAGTCAAACCAGCTCCAGCACAAGTGGGCAGCCTGCCTCTGGCCCGCGAAGATGGAGAACCCAGCCGACCCAGAGGCCTGGACATGTGAGAGGACTCCATCCCGTGCACACCCAGGGACGAGGCTGAGGTGGCCTGAGCCTGCATTTCCACTCCTACAGGACCCCCTTATAAGTAAGAACTTGGTTATGAATGATCATAGGAGTGTTATTCATAATGGCCAAGAGGTGGACGCAACCCAAGTGCCCATCACATAGTGAATGGATGAAGGAAATATGTGTCATCCATACAGTGGAATATTACTGGAGCCTTGTTTTCTTTTTCCAATGCTGGGGTCTAACCAGAGCCCTGAGCATGGCGGGCACGTGCTCCTCCACTGGGCTCCAGCTCCAGCCCCCAAGCAAGTGCCCTTTAGGAACCAAGAGGGTTGAAGCTCTGACACGGGCTGCAACCTGGGAGAACCCTGAAGACACTGTGCGAAGTGAGAGGATCCAGACGCAAAGGACTAGTACCGCAGGGTTTCACCTAGGCCAAGCCAGGGACAGAAGAGGTTAGGGCGGGAGGAAAATCGGGGGGGGGGGGGGGGTGACCACGAGAGGGAGCTGAACCCTTTTTCACTTTGGCCTCATGAAAACCTTCGAAATTGATGGTGGCGATGGGTGCGTTCCTCTGTGAACACGCTGAAAGCCCTTGAGCTATTCACCTTCAGCCCTTAGATGGCAAGTACCCGCAGCATGGACCAATAAGGCTGTCAGGAATGAGAACAGAGGCCCCTCTGCATCTACTGAGTGTGGCGTTTCTGGGATCCAGGGGCCCCTCGCCTGCTCACCGCCACGTACCTCCCTGTCCTTTCCTAGTGGATTCTCGCGATCTGGTGGGGCCTCAGCAGCCATTCTGCATTGGCCTGAGCTCCTTATGCTGGAAGCGGGGCTCAGCCACAGTCTCTAGCTCTCCACCTCCTCCTGTCCCTCAGTGTGCTCCACCAGACATCTGCCTCAGCCCCTCCCTCCTGGAGATCACAGCTGCAGACAGCACACCTGAGTGGCCCCTGCCCCCACACCCTGCATGGACGCACAGATGTCACCCTGTGAATGTGACTCCCTGGGGCTCACATTCACCTGCTCCATTAAACCCCTCTGACACCGCCTGTCTGGATAATGCCTTACCCACCCACCCCCAAGGAGCCGGGGTGCTCCTTGACTGCCATGCGCACGACCTCAGGCACCTGCACCCCCCCAAACCCAGGGTCTGTGAGTAGTAAAATCTTTATTTCCATCCTGATCACTGGAGCCCTTCTCCGCATCTTAAAGATCCTGAATCACAACTCCGGGGACCAAGACTTACATGCAAAAGAAGACGAGGCAGAGACAGAGAGAGAGCAGGGCCCCTGCACCAGCACCTCCAAGGGCTGCGAGCAACACCCCTGGCCTGGACCTTCCTGCAGAGAAGAAGGGCAGAGGACTCACTCTCCCCGCTCCTGGTGGAGCCGCTCAGGGCTGGCTCAGTCAGGAAGCCAAGGGCCCCACTCCCAGCCGCTTATTCCAGACCCAGCCCCCGTCCCCAGATCCAGGAGGCTCCCCTCAGACACCCTGTCTCCCTCCACCACAGGCCCCTGACCTGGCAGCAGCAGGACGGTGGCGCTCTGGGTGCCGTGGGCGTTCTGGGCCTCACAGCTCAGCCTGAGGTCGGAGCTGAGCGCCCCGTGGAGGCTCAGGGAGCTGTTGGCCCAGGGCCCCGCGGAGCTGGAGGTGACCCCGAGGGAGGCATTGCTGCTGTTCCCCTCCAGCAGCCCCTCCCCCAGCCGCCAGTGCAGGGCGGGGGCCGGCCAGGCGCGGGAGGAGCAGCTGCAGAGCAGAGCCTGGGCCTCCCAGGAGCAGGAGGGTCCCAGCAGCCTTGGGGGGTCTGTGGGGAAGGAGCAGGAGGGTCAGCAGGTGCCCCTCCTCCAGAATCCAGATGTCCACACCTCAGGGTTCCCGAACTCACAGGAGAGCCTCACAGAGACACTGTGGGAGCCCAGTGCGTTCTGAGCTCGGCAGGTAAAGGCCTCTCCTTCCGCAGCCCCTACTCGGGGCAGGTCCAGGAGCCCAGTGTCAGAGACCTGGGAGACGTTCTGGGTGGAGGACCTCTGGAACCAGCTCAGCTGGGCCGCAGGGTTGCTGTCTGCAGCACAGCACAGCACCACAGCCTGGCCTTCCAGGAAAGCTGGGGGGAAAGAGGTGCTAAGAGACCGCCAGTGGGGGACTCACGGGACCCTGCTCCCAGGTCTGACTGGACCTCCCCACTCCCTTGGCCCATCCCCACTGGATTCCTGTCGGTTATCAAAGGCTGGGCCTTTACACCCTTGGAGACTTTGGCTGCGAGTCTTGAGAGGAGACTCAGCGTCTCACAGGGACATGTGTGGACTGTGTGGCAGAGAAATCAGAGAGCCCTGTGGCCTTGGGAAAGAGGGTAGGTCAGTGCAGCAGGACCAGGACTCAGGAGGCCAGCGCAGGGGCAGGAGCCCCCAGAGCCGAGCCATGGTGAGGTGGGGTGGCATGGATCTGTGGGTCCTGGATATCCTAGTAAGAAGTGGACCTGGCAGGGACAGGGGACAGGCAGGGTCCAGAGACTGCTTGTGACTTTGAGAAGAACCTAGTGTGTGAACGTGGGGTGCACAGAGGGTAGGTGATGGAAGGGGATGGTTCTTTCTTCCTGCTCCTAAATCCAATTCCATTAAGCTTGAGTCCCCTGTACTTGGAGGTGGTCTCAGCTGTGGACAGGAAGAGCGCTTTCCTACCTGTGCCGTTTCCAAAGAGGATGCGGATGCTGAGGTTCTGAGGGGCATCTGGGAGGAAAGACAGGGTCCTGCTTCAGAGTGAGCAGTGGGAAGAGCGTGGGCCATGGAGGAGCCCAAGGGGGCCATGGACACCAGGAAGGGGGGGTGCTGTCCCTCTGACCCCCCCCCACCTGGACTCCAAGCGCTCAGTTCCACAAACAAGTTGTCTGATTTTATCCTTCTACATTCCTACACACACTCACACTCACACACACACTCACACACACCCACACACACTCACACACACTCACACTCACACACACACACACCCTGTTCACAATACCCTGGGGACCCCGCTGGCCTCCTGCACTCACAGGACACATTGAGCTGGACGGTGCTCTCCGTGGTCACCGCAGATCCCTGCAGTTTCACCTGACAGGTGAGGTTGGTGTCGTGGTCCTGGGGCCGTGGGGTGAGGCTGAGCACTGGGGACTGCAGGGCCCCGGGGGCCATGGAGCTAGTGACCGCCCCTGTCCAGGAGAACTGGAGAGGCCTTCCCCCTTCACAGGACCCTGGCAGGCGGCAGCTCAGGCTTGTGGGGCGGCCGGACTCCAGAGGCTCCAGAGAGTGGATGACGGGCTTCTCTGTGAGGGCTGAGGAGGAGAGAGCGAGATGCCTGGGCCCCAGAGAGAGGGGACACCCAGGGGGACGCTGAGAGTGACTGGAGCCTCAGGGCCCGAGCTGGCCCTGGGTCCCGTACCACCTCTGAGCACCCCGGCCCCAAGACCAGAGCAGGGACAGCTCTAGCGTCCTGACCCTGTCCTAACCCAGGGGTCTTCACTACCTGGGTACCATCCTGGGCCCCGCCTACCTGTCACCTGCAGAGTCAGCTTCTTATCTCTGAAAGTATATCTTGTATTCCATCCTATATCTGCCATCAGGAAGTAGCTTCCTGTGTCCTTCTTCTTGGCGTCTCTGATGAGCAGAGAGCAGTTGTTGTCCCTGACGTCCCCAGGGAGATGGAATCGATTCCTGTGTTCTGTTCTGACGTCCACGTCTGGGTTGTTTGTGGCCACAGGACCATCATAGTATGTCCTGTCCCCTTCCCGGATCCAGTAGATGTAGAGCTTGATGGGGGGACTCCACCCACTCCAGGGGTAGGAGAAGGAGCAGGGCACCAGGGCACACAGCCCAGCCTGCACTGCCACCGACTCCTGCAGCTGGAGCTTGTACCCTGCATCTTCCTGCAGGGACCCTGGGGGCACACAGAGGCTCAGCTCAGCCCTGCCCCCGCCCTGGCCGCCCCTCCCTCAGCCCACTCACCTGCCCAGAGCAGGGGCAGCAGCAGCAGGGGCAGCATCCTGCATGTGCCAGGGCCGGAGCCAGTCCAGGGTCCTCTGAAGCTGGGGTGGGGCAGGACAGAGGAAGCCCTGGCAGGAAGCCAGTGGTGAGTGACAGCTGTGGTCACCCTCCAAAGGGGAACTCGGTGCCTCGTGCTGCTGGTGCTGAGGAGGGGCTGGGACCCAGCTGCCTCCCCAAGCCTACAGTTGCCTCAGGGATGAGCTGAGGTCCCCAGAGGGTGGAGTCTTGTCCAGACAGGAGGCTGGCAGTGCCTCCCTGCAAAATGGTGTAAGTCAGCAGTGGATCATCAAGGGTGGATGCCGATGGCAAAGAGGAAGGACAGCTGGACACAGTGGCACACTCCTGTAATCCCAGTGAAGAGGGAGGCTGAGGCAGGAGGATCACAAGTTACAAGTTCAAGGCCAGCTTCACCATCTTAATATAACTCTCAGCAATTTAGTGACTCCCTGCCTCAAAATAAAAAAAAATAGAAACGGCTGGGGCTGTGTCTCAGTGGTTAAGTGCCCCTGGAGGCCCTCTTCAGTTTTACACACACACACACACACACACACACACAGACACACAATCTCTTTCTGTTTTCATATGACCCTTAGCTCATTAAATCTGAAGAGATAAAAAGATCAACACTGGAAATTTCAAACGCCTTCATGATAAATTAGAGCCAGCTGGGAACAAGAGCAATTTCCCCCGACAAGTTAAAAGGTGTCTTCAGCAAACATCACGCCAAATGGAACAGCAGCATCAGGTCCTAAGGCATGAAAATAAGTAAAAGATATAAGAATTGAGAATAGAAAAAAAAATTAAAACTACACTGAGATTTCATACACACCAGTCAGAGTGGTGGTCATCAGGAATTGTAACAATAATAAATGCTGGAGAGGATGTGGATGAAAGGAAGACTTTTGCTGTCTTAGTGGAAATCAGTATGGAGTTTCCTCCAAAGACTAGGCATGGACCCACCATATGACCCAGCTAGGCCACTCCTTGGTTTTTATCCTGAGGAATTTGTCGTCTTAACTACAGCAATACATGCACTCCCATGTTTATAGCAGCACAAGTCACAATAGCCCCACTATGGAACCAGCCAGGCAGCCTAGGTGTCCAATAATGGGTGAATGGTAAGAAAATATGGCCCTATACACACAGTGGAGTGCTATTCAGCCATAAAGAAGAGTGAAATCATGTCATTTGCAGGAAAATGGATGGAACTAGAGACCATGTTAATGTTAAGCAAAGTAAGCCAAACCCAGGAGGTCAAGGTCACATGTTTTTCCTTATATGTGAAAGCTAGAGAGGAAAAAGGAAAAGACAGTTGGGGTGTATCTCATGAAAACCATAGGGAGATGAGCAGAGGAAAGGGACAGGGGAAGTGCTGGGGGTGATGTTGGCCTCATTTTATTGTTGTTTTGTGTGCATGAGTGGATATATAACAAGGAATCCCATCACTATGTACAACCATAGGGCACCCATGAAAATGCAGAAAGACAAGAAGACGACTTTCTTCATGAAGGATGTGACTGCACAGACAGAAAAACCCCAGAGTGCATACAGATGAACTCGGGGCTTAAGAGGGGAGTCAGCGAAGCTGCCAGAGATTAGTCTAACTACAGAAATTAAGTGTATTTCCGTATCACAGGAATAACAGAGATGGGATCTTGTGAACGCTGCTGTTGGCAGTAGTGTCTGTGGGAGGAAGCCACAAGCAGGGACCAGGTCTGAAGGATCCCGAGCCATTGAAACCAGCTCTGCCTGTCACTGACCTGAGCCCCCCTTGGTGTGGGGTTGCAAAGCAAAGTTTGAGCTATTTGCTGTGAAGAAGGTCAGAGCTGGCCAACACTCATTAAGGGACCTTTGATAGATCCACAAAGTCAGCTGGACAACTGTGGCCTCAGGGAGGTTTGCTGTCTTCTGTGTCTGTCCCCCAGATGCCACCCTTGCATTCCCTCCGTGGAGCCCAAAGCACTTTGCTTTGGAGCTGCCCAGCTCAGGAACTGCTGTTGGCTCTAAAAACAAAAAAAAAATAGAATTCTTTAAGATTATATATTTTGGGGCTGGGGCTGTAGCTCAGTGGCAAAGCGTTTGCCTAGCGTGCGTGAGGCCCTTGGTTTGATCCTCAGCACCACATACAATAAACAACCACAAAAATAAAGGCACTCCATTGGTACTCAACTATAAATTTTTTAAAAAAGATTATATTGTGCCTCTTTGAAGGTAAATGGATGGAATTAGAGAATATCATGCTAAGTGAAATAAGCCAGTCCCCCAAAACCAAAGGCCTATTGTTCTCTCTGATAAGTGGATGCTGATCCATAGTGGGGAGAGGGTTAGGAAAGAAGGAAGGAACTTGGGTTTGTGCAGAGGGGAGTGAGGGGAGGGGTGAGACTGTGGGTGTGGGAAGGGCAATAGAATGAGACAGACATTACTGCCGCAGTCTGGCTGGGCACAAAATCACTAGCCACTCACAGCCTTGTAGATTCAAACAGCAATTCTTTATTCCCGAACTCACATCGGCACTCTACAATCACGTTCTGGGGAAATCCACGTACTCCACAGGGCTCTGAATCCCAAATACTCTCTGAATCCCGGAGAACTCAAAGGGAACTCAAGGAGCAGGCGGGCCTGAGGCAGCAGGATACGCCCTATTCCCAGCAGGGTACACCTTAAACCTGGAACCGCCCTAAACCCAAGGAGCGGGATACTCCCTAATCCCAGCAGGATACACCCTAAACCTGGATCCGCCCTGGTCCTTGAGCAAGGTCACCTTACATGCAATGTCACTGCAAATGACCTGGGTCATGCCATGCATCATACCTACTTGGCAATGGCTCTCAGCACATTACTGTTGGGAAAAGTATAAACGGCAGCCATACCCCAGAGAAAAAAACCCAACATGGCGCCTAAGGACCTCTTCTTCCTACCTTCTTCTTTTCTGCAGTGGCCCGAAAAGTTCCCGCCCGTGTGAACTCTCCCGCCAGCGCCAATTTCAAATCTCGCTGGCGGGGAACCTTAGCCCCAGTGAGAACTAATTCCTGGGCTCCGGAGCTGATATCTGGAAGAACTTGCCAATAAACGGGTTGCCTGCCATTTATCTAAGCCCTACCATCTCCCCCTTAGTTCTATATAAGCTTTTTGCAATAAAATTGGAATTCTCCCAGCGAAGTGTCTTTGCATGGGGAATTCTTTCAATTACTACCCCTATACATGTATGATCACACTACTGGGGTGGCTCTGCACCAAGGACAGCCAGAGGAATGAGAAGGTGTGCTCCATTTGTGTGCAATGGGTCAAAATGCATTCTATTGTAAAATAAATAAATAAAATGCAAAAAATGATTATTTGGGGCCTCAATTTACTTAACATATCAAGAATTATGATAAAACTAGAACATATCTAAGCACTTAGAGGCTTACCTAACAAAACCATGGTGTCACCACCTCTATAGAGGAATTAGATCACCTGTACTAAGGACATTCAAGGTGCAAAGAAACTGAAAATATGTCACGTTAATGGGTTTGGAAACAACATTACAGAAACATCACCTCACCCAGATCAATCACGAGAATCACCACATTACATCATGACATCCTTCGAGGACTTGCGGGGAACTCATGACTGTATTGTAAACTTTATGTTGAAGTAGAAATGTCCCAGTATGCCAAGGAATTATGAAGAACAGTGAGTAGCTCTGCGAGATATCACGATTGCTTACACTATAAAAGCTGTGAAGGTGTTGTATTGACACGGGAATTGACCAATAGGACAACAGAGAACTTGGATAGATTCCTTAGCCACAGGAACCATCACACACCTCAGCAGAGATGATAGAGAAGGACAGAAAATAGAGTAGAGATCTGGATGCAGAGAAGGGGAACTGGGAAGACAACCAGCTCAAAGCCAGTGTTAAGTATGAAAGTGACAATTTAGGATTCAGGACATATGTGTCACAGTGTATCCAAAATGCATGGCTAGGTGAAGTAGGATGAGGTCAGTCTGGTTCCCCAGCAGCATGTACGTCCTAACTGTCGTAGTCCGTTTTCTGGTGCTAACAGCACAGTGCCAGGGACTGGGCGAGCTATGAAGAAGAGAGGTTGGCTGGGCTCATGGTTCTGCTTCATGGGGAAGGGGCCGCGTCTCTGTGGTGGCCTTCTTGTTGCCAGAGTCTTGAAGTGGCAGTGGCATCTGGTGAGAGACAGGACCCAAGCTGGCTGTTACAGCAGACCCATCTCCAGATAACCTGTCCATCCACCAGCTCGGGAATCCACAGGGAGGGCAGAGCCCGCAGCACCCTTCAAGGGCCCGCCCCACCTCTTCCTATCCCACAGTGGGGTTCCACTTCCACATGAGTTCCAGGGGGGACAGCCATAGCACACTAGCATCAACTCCCACTAGTTGCAAGTTCTGATTGACACATGCAACCCAAACTGCTAGAAACAGAGGGAAGGAAACAGCTGTGCAGGGGAACAGCCAAAGACAGGCGGAGGGAGCTTCAAACCCTGCAGGGTCAGCCTCAAACCCCCACCCCCAGCTTCTCCAGCCTGAGTCCTGCCCAAAACTAGAGGCACACTTCCTGAAGGAGCATCTAGGTCTTTCAAAGAGTCTTATGCCCATAGGCCCATACCTATCCTGTGCACTAGGAGTGAGAAAAAAATGGAGTGGGTGAAGGGAGAGGAAGTTGCAACCAGACACCACAAGGCACGGATAAAGAGGCAGAGAAGGAAATTACCCCATATCCTCTATCAGGAGAGCTGGGCCCCGGGTGGGGAGGAGGCCAGACTAGCCTGCTTCAGGGCAGAATGCCCATCAAATGTAAAGGAACCCAAATCACTGAACTGGGGCCCAAGCAGCAGCCATTTTCACATGCAAGAATGGTGATGGAGTTGATCTCCGAGAGAGTCCATACATAGGTATATGGTATTTTTATTGACGTGAGATTCGTATGAGATGGAATCATCAATGGTGATTTTGGATGTGAAGGATTTGGGAGGCTGAGCTGAAGAGGAAACTGATAGGATGCTGGATAAGGCAATGTTGCCAACTGCAGGGCTCCCCGCTGTGGAGGACAGAGGCAGTGTAGCCCAAAGTCCTA